AACTTTTCATTTTAAAGGATGAAGAGAGACAAGACAATAGTTTTGCATTAGGAGAATGTAAGCGCTTAGTACTAGAACAAAGTGATTGCTCCTATGGATACATTATTATCCACACACTGTAGTACGATTCTGCCATTGATAAACTATCCAAATTCACAACAGTAATTTCCGTTATTTGATGTCCTGAAATGTAAATATATCCCTTAACAGTACATGTCTATCTGTAAAATTCAGAGAGAATAGTGATAACACACAAATAATTCAGCAATAACAAAAGAAAGATTGCTGCTTTTCAGAAGAATCATATTTGCCCTACTTTGTGATTTACTACTTGTCTGAATTACTTTGTGAATAGAAAATCTTAAGCTTCTTGGAGACAGAATGGGTCTTTATTAGTGTAAGGAACATTTTGCTTAAATTTCCACTGCATCACCTCATTGTGATACAGTTCCTGTGAAAAGCAGCCACTTATATAAAAGGCACTAACTGTTGAAAAGATGTTTTTCCTGGCTTTCAGAGAAAACTCTCAAGTTTTATCATTGACATCAATAGGCTCCTGATTTCACTCGATGCCCTTGAAGTCTATTTAGAGACTTAGAATAATTGAGAACCAAAAACAAAACAAATCTGGGAAAAACAAAAGCTATACCCCTTATACTGTTTCAAAGAGTTAGGGCTAAATCATAAGTTCCTGTACATTTGTTTAAGCACTGACAGATAGTTCCAGAAAATACACTTTGATGACACAGAACTTAAGCAGAATTTAGGCACTTGAAGTCCTTGGAAATAACCCTGTAAAAGTTAAAAACTGCTACTAAGAATGTAAAATTCACTGGCCAAGAAAGCAAGCAGATTATTAATATTTAAGCAGGAGCCCGTTCTGCTGAGCTACTTCCGTGTTCTGCAGTAAAGACTCAACAGAATTTCTCAGCAGAGAAAACGCACACTCAGATTTCCCATGCTGAGCACTGCTACTTTTAAGTACTCTTGTGAATTTGAGCCATACTTAGTAAGTACTCTGGCTGTTGGAGAAGCTCCTTACTGGTGTCCTCTGGGAGGGATGATCCCTGTACACTTTCTGGCAGCAAGCACACTCATGCCTTGCCTCCTAGGACCAGGCACTTGTCCTTACAACAACCATTGAGAAAACACACTGGATCCTTCCTTCTTTCTCTTGCCTACTGTGAAGCATGTAAGATAGCCTGTCACCATTCAAACTCCTTTTTCAATTCCTTAAAGTGTAAACACAAAGTACTAGAAGAGAGGGGAAAAGTGAGTAGGAGACTAACATACATATTTACAGTATATTAGTGAGAGCAATCACTGGTAAAGAATTTGTCTTTCGTTTTTAAGAGTTCATTCTAAACACATGGGAAACCCCCATCAAACAGCACCCATTGAAAGGTTTCTGACTCCTTCAGCACAACTGAAGCACCAATTTTGTTGCCTCTTGACAGAGAACAGACAGTGTGGCTCTCTGCTTGTTCATGCACTGCTTTGTATTCAAACCATCTGTCATCACCTTTATACAGGACTTCCTGAAGATGAAAATCAAGGGAACTGCACATATTTGGAGATTCCAGAATAGGCTTGTAAAGACTTGTGGATCTTTGGTCCTGACCATCTGACAGTACTTCCCCATAAAGCTAAGCGCCTCCCCAGCTAAGAGATACATTCATCATGATCACACCAAGAAGCAGCGGAAGGGGCTCACACAGACAATGCTACCCAAACAGCAGAGTGGGGAAGGCTTCCTAAAATGAAACAATTAGATATGTAAGAGACTGAAACAGTGGGAAACAGAGAGTTTAGGGACAAAGCTGGATGTTCAGAAACCTGTATAATGTACATGGCAAAAGAAGATAGCAATAGCACTAGAGTGTCTGCACTGGCTGTGAAACCTGGCTGACAGGGCTGCGTTCCTGTCCGTTATTAAATAAAGACCCATTAAGCAAGAGTCTAGATTCATTCTGGTAGAACTCCACCAACCTGAAGTGAGTAAGCTGAATTTCTGAGTATTTATGAACAGACACAAGACAGTCAAAAACGGGATGCAGGGGAGTGGGATGTCCTATGATGTTCCCTTTACTAATCAGTTCCTACAAAAGAAAACAGTGATTTCCCTCTGCAAGGAAGGCAGGCAACATCTACCACCAGCACTCCGAGAGAGACCCTGGGGCTTTGGAGACATACTGGATGTCACCAGCGCCAGTGCAGCTCATACCGACTCCTGGTAAACCAGCTGCCAGAGAAGAAGGACTTACCAAAGGGGCAATTCTTGCGTATGGCGTCTCTGAAGCAATGCAGCCCTCGCTAGCAACACCCAGACAGAAAGAAGCCTCATCAGAAAGAAAACTCATCAAACCAACATACCAGCAAGAAATGATAGCTACCTACCTAGAAAAAAATCTTCCAAGCAACTGGATACTAAAACTCACAAGAATGACTGAGAAGAATTGAAATGGCATTGAAATCTTTTTGTATTTCTTCCTTTCCACTTCCCTTTTCCTTGTCTTTACCATCTTGTGTGGACATTTCCCCTTTCTGCCAAATTTAAGCAGCTTCCTGACTCTCCCAAGTTTACACTTTCATTTGGACAACGTATTCTTCACTTCCCCTTAGCCTGCATGATATAAGCCTAGAAGCATGCTATTTCTGAAATGAAAAGACAATCACAATTTTGTTCCAAGTGTCCAAAGATTTAAGACTACATGACTTACAACCATGCAGTTTGACTCCTGCAAGACACAGAATTCCACTAAAGGGTTCTTCAAACAAACCCATACCGATCTCTCGGGCTGGAATGGATTGCTAAGCACCACATTTGTATCCTCCAATGTTCCCTTGTGCTTCAGGTGATGCCTTCCTTATTAAACTTTCAGCCTTTTATCAGAAAATCAGGTCCACGCTAGAACAGATATCTGCAACACACATACGCTACAAGAAGGCATCAAAGATCGACATTCCAAGCTAACTAAAGCTAAAGAAATTTCACATAGCTGACCAATGTGCGAAGCACCACCAGAGAGGTTCAGGACTTATGTTCCATTCAACAGATATGCTACAGAAAAATATTGAGTAAAAAAAATGGGAGCATCTTTATCAGTTTGGAGACTGAAACAGCAACTTGAATTCATAGATAATGGAATAAATCAGCTGTAATTTTTTCTCAAATATGTTAAATAAATTAGAGAAAAGATCCGCAGGTAAAATATCTGGGAAATGAAGAAGCTTCTGATATGCACAGATTACCTTAATCCCTACCCTTCGTCTTCTTAAGGAATAAGACAATACTGCCTCATCAGAACAGCTTTGGACGGGGTAAGCAGCATGACTTACAAAATAGAAAGGAATTTCAGCTTCCAAAAAGAGAAACAAATAGCCGTATCACACAATTATCCTCTCAGTGTGGCAGATGAATCATCTTGACACATCTTTAGATAAGAACAGCGTGCCTACAGAAAATGTTTCCAGAGAAAAGTCATGATATTAACACTATGTACCCATATAAATAGTATCTGACTACACTGTTTGGCAGGGTAACTGCCAGACGTAGAAAGTGCCAAATCAGTTATTTAAATTTAACAGTAATTTTTAAAAAGCAATGAAACTACATTATTTTTCAAAAACCTACCAGTGAACAACAAGTTGCAGCACCTAAAGCAGCTCTGTGGAGAAGGATCTGGGGTTCCTGGTGGACAAGTTGACCTTGAGGCATCAATGTGCCCTTGCAGCACAGAAGGCCAACAGCCTCCTGGGCCACATTAGGACGAGCGTTGCCAGCAGGTCAAGGGAGGTGAGCCTGCCCCTCAACTCTGCCCTGGGGAGGCCACACCTGGAGTGCTGGGTGCAGTGCTGGGCTCCCCAGCGCAAGAGAGATACGGACGTACTGGTGCAAGTCCAGCAAAGGGCCGCAGAGGTGATTAGGGGACTGGAGCAGCTCTCCTGCGAGGAGAGGCTGAGAAAGTAGGGAGCGTTTAGCCGGGAGAAGAGAAGGCTCCAGGGGGATTTTATCAATGTGTATAAACATCTGCAGGGAAGGGTGTAAAGAAAGTGGAGCCAGACTCTCCTCAGTGCTTCCCAGTGACCGGAGGAGAGGTAACAGGCACAAACTGGAACATGGGCAATTCCACTTGAACCTAAGAAAACACTTGTTTGCTTTGAGGGTGGTTGAACACTGGAACGGGCTGCCCAGAAGGGCTGTGGAGTCCCCGTCCTTGGAGATACTCAAAACCCAGCTGGACATGGTCCTGGGCAACCTGCTCTAGCTGGCCCTGCTTTGAGCAAGGGGATTAGCAAGGCTTTGCTTTGAGCAAGGGGACCAGCTTACCTCCAGAGGACCCTTCCAACCCCAACTGTATCCTGTGGTTCTGTGAATTGGCTTGTAAGCATGCCAGACAACAAGATTTCTGGATTTACTGAACACTTCTAACTTTCTAATTTAGCAAAATAAGTCTTAACTTCCCGCTCTTAGACAGACCAAATGCAGTGTTGCGAACATTCCATTTTAAAAGGACACGGATGGATTACTTTCATTTTAAATAATTATTATTTGTTGCATACTATAGGAAGAAAGACAACATTTTAGAACTCTGGTCCTCAAATTCTAAGAGGGAACTAGGAAGTTAAACGATATAATTCTTTTTGCTAGCACACAAAGGATCACTATGTCTGTTCCATACTAGTGACAGTTCAGAAGAGGCATACAATAACCTAAACATGTGTATACTCTATCTGCAATACAGCATTTTCTTCAGACCATAGGTGATAATACAAATCTCACTCATTCTAGAGGTTTGTTGCTAGCTTTCACTTAGATTTACGTAGAAAAGTGCTCCTTTTGGCCTTTTAAAGAGCATGTTGAAAAATGCAGGTCAAACTTCATGAGTGATCACAAAACTAATCATGCCTAATTACTTCTACTCAATATATATCCATATTACAGTAGGCTTTGAAAAAGACATTAAAAAATAAATAGGAAAAAGAACCCGGTTACCTACGTTATTCATGTATTCAGAAAGCAGGTCTTGGAGAGCTTGGCGGATAGCATTGCATTCAGCAATGATGCGTTCTCGATGAAAGTCACGTGTGCAGGAAGAATCTGCTAGCAAAGCAGCTCCACTAATAATAGCTTCCAAACGTTTCTCTAGTGATGGCCTTATTTTCTCTTCATTCACTACAAGAGGATCCAGGACAACTAAATTCTGGAAAAAATCAGAAGTATAGGTAAGAACAATCAGCTCAACGAAGTCTTTGCTTTAGCTATTACTTGCAAGAACCACAGTGACATTATGTTTCCCAGACTTCCAACCACCCCATTCTCTTTGATGTATCCAAAATACTGTTGATGACAGCAGATTGTTTTCCTCAGTGATGCTAGTGTTCAGGTCATTTGCAGACAAAGTCACGACCTCTCTGCCATTCCAATGTGACCTGTTCCAATCCAATAGCTGTGCTATTAAACCCTACTGGCCTCAGCCCAGCCCTAAGGTGGCAATAGAGCTTCCAATTGGACCAGCTCCACTCCAAGGCCACACTGACATCTTCTGACTACAATTGCCTTCTCTCTGAGTTCTCTGTCCATTAATTTTATTGCATCAGATTCAAGATTTTCATTCTCTCCTTTAGTCTCTCCCACATCTGTGATTTCTTCTTCTACAAGGCATTTCACTTCTCCTGGAAGCAGAAATGCTATTTGTCTACACTGGTACATACGCACGCATCCTTAACATTGCAATATCTGACTACTTGGGGTACCAATTTTCATAATGCCTCGTTCTGAAATGGGGAACTATCAATCTCATTTTATAGTTAAAGAACTGAGGCACAGAGAGCCATGTTCAAGGGCCATACAGAAGGGAAGTGCTAAAACAGGCAACCGTGTACCAGCTTCCCAAGTTCTAAGACAGCACTGTTTCTCCTCTTGGAGTTTTGTCACTGACGTTATCACAAATTATTTCTTCTTTTTTCACACTGTCTCTGTGTCTGTCTACACTTCTTGAAGGTCACCTGCCTTCTTCAGTCCGGAGACTCAGTTTTGTCTGAAAACATGTAGGCAGTTCAACACCTTCAACATTTGAACTCTTGGAGACCAGCAGTGTTTAACCTTAGCTGAGAGATGTTATGTTGGATTAGATGAATGGACTGATTCTGTTGACTTTTAGTCTAATATAAACACACTGTGGCAGAAATGCACTGCTGCTACTTTTAGAAGGCTGAACAGCCAAAGTGCAAAATAGTAGCTTTTGTTCAACAGTTGTGTTTTCAAAGGTCACAGGTAAAAGTGGTCTCTTTTCACCAGCTAGGGTAAAGCAAAGAAGCCAACTCTTTTGGCATGATAAAACTATCTACTTTTCTGTGAGAAGAAACAATTTTTAAAAAATGGAAAAGGAGAGGTGATATTTTGATGCAATGAAAAAGTAAGTAAATTTGGGCTCCAGCCCAGACAGCCTTTTCTAATCAAACTGAACATCTGAAACTGTGTCATTATGGTCCACATCACCAAGCCTAAATTCCATATAAGTCTATTTGCATGTTATATCCATTTGGTCATTCTCAGCTTTCAGAAGAAATATTAAACAAGAAAATTATGGCATATATCCTTAAGTGGAATTTATATTTCAATTTATAGCTAGCACGACAATTTCAGGTACTGTCTAGTTTATAAAATTCTAAGAGTACAGAAAGTGTTCCATTACAATATCATAAGATAAACAGCCAGAAATGGGGACTTCAGTAACCTCAAAATTCTGCTGTTTGTTATTAATAACAAATTCCAATGCATTACATACAATTTAGAGAAAGGAAGTCTCTATTATAGGTTCAATCCTCTCATCTTTTCCAAAAAATACAAGAATTGTTTTGAAACAGCTGGAAGACTCTCCAGCATAACTACAGGAAAAAAATCAGACTTCATAATCCAAATATTTCCAAAGGAATTATTTTAATACGGAAATCTGACAGTGAATCTTCTTTCTGCATTACATTGCCATTCAAATGGAAGCTCACATTTCCAACTTGCGGGAAAAGTGTAACTTTCTAAATATTCCTCCTCCATTACTGTTGCACTGCCCTGAAGTACTCCATCTCATTTAAAAGCGCTCAAGTTATTTAAGTACTCTCAATACTTTAGCTCCACACTTACTGCCTATTAATACACAGAAAACTACTTGAGAATGAACCTTCTTATATAACCTCAGTAGGTCCTTCTCAGAGCTAAAATTCTAGAAGTTTTGTTAAGTGGCTTATGTTCTGCTTTGTACCCGAAACTGGGACAACACGAACTTCCGTCATCAAACTAGAAAAACACCAGTGAGTTTCTGTTTGTCTTTACATCGACTTTTTAGGGTTTCATACCACAACAGAGCACCATAAAAGAGCAGACCAGTGATACTGCTATTGCAATTGTCCGTTGTCTGTTCTGAGAGACTATAAAAAGTCTAATATTAGGTTTATGGACTTGTTGCAGCAGGTGATAGGATGTATCATTAAAATAGTTTATGAGTCTATGTCAGTATTTTATGCGTATTTAGAAGATGCAACCTTAGATATGTTAAAGCAACCACTATGTACTTTCAAGTTCCCGGATTTTCTTAAACCAATGTCCGTCTATCCAGAGCTTCATTATTCTGAAGACAAAAAACACAGCTGTTTTTTGTATTCAGAAGAGTAACATATTAATCCTACTCATAGCTCTTAATTATTTCCTAATTTAAAGACATAAAAAACATACTGATCATGGAAACATTAAGTTCACATGCAACTTTGGAATCAGAGCTGAACTGGAATGGGGCCTTGACTGTACCACCACTTGCCCTGTAGCAAGGCTGAAGCAAAGGAAGCAGGCATTCCACTGCTTTCTCTTTTGTAGAAATACAAAAGTTGGAGCCAGTCAAGAACCTCACAGCAGTTACAAAAAAAAGACTTTTTTCCCTTTCCTTATAAAGGACTGTGAGAGGAAGAGCTGAAATTTTTCCAGGACCTGGCAGCTCCTGCCAGAGGGCTTCAACAGAAGGAAGATGGTTTGCTCTTCTACTCAGAAATAGCTGCACATACGCTAACCTCTTGCTGGCAATAGATTAGCCAGCCTGGCTCACCCAGGCAACAGCACAGGACATTGTTTTGCTTTTGCAGGCAAAGTCCTAATTTGCCAAAGCCGAGAGCCAGGCCTCGATAGAAGTGGTGATCCAGCTTTCAATAGCGTCATCAGAAGCCTCCCACCTTAATTAAAGTATTAAAATTTCTGTTCTTTTCTATAATAGCTGTTTCCATAAAAGGAAGGAAATGTACGCGAAGGCACTTTCTGGAAGGGTGAAGGCAGTAAGATAGCACTTGTTCACAAGGATGACTTAGAGACACATTGAGAGTGTTATTATAGGGCATCTGTATTTTCCCTCATAATTTCCTCTCTTTATTGAGCTTCCTTAGAGCAGTGGGATTATAGCTGAATGCCAAGGAAAACTGCACCTAATTTACCTGGAGGCAACCTAAGTTACCACATGTCTAACATGATATACACTGCAGGAAGTCAGAGAAATGCAGTACAAGGAATTGCAAATACATGGTAAGAAGTGCCATTATAGACTCTGAAACGGTGAGGAAATTAACCCCTTCCAGCTGTCACCTCTCTAGGTAAGAATGCTTAACTTGAAAAGCAGCATCCACATAGTTCTCAGCACTGCGAACTGTGCTTTCCTACATAACACATTTAACCAATGCATTATCTGAATTTCCATTACTTTGGCTGTATCAAAGACACAGCATAATTAAAAAAGAAAAAGCCTTAACTTTGATAACTTGCAGATTTGGAAAAGTGTGTATTTACTCTTTCTTTTTTTACAGATAATTAACTTATATCCAATAGGTAATTTTACACTAGTCTCATATATGAAAGACTCATCCATGAAAGTCTCCTAGGAATGACAAGGGAAGGAATTCCAAGGTAGCCAGTTTCCAAAGGTCAAGACATTCACTTCTGAAGTGGAAGACAGCTTTATTTGTATTATAAATTTGGAACTCAGACCCCTTCATTCACTTTAGAGTCCTGAATACCAAACTGCTTTGTGGTATCTCGCTCCTGTCTGTTGGAGCTGTGCCAATTGGTCACCATTCATTGGCGCACCAACTGCACTGTTGGTCTGCCACATGTTAAGTAAGCACCCTCAACACTGGACTGTATATACAACATCCATCATGACATAAATGCACTGGCCAAATAAAATATTTAAGTGTTACTGCAGAAAGAAGTAGTTTCATCATGGAAGACAGATGTGTCCGATGACTACAGCCAATTAGCCATTTAGCTGGCTTGATGACTATTTTTAAGTCTTAGAAGAAAGAGAAGGAGAAATGTCTTCTTCTAGGAGATGTTTTAAAGCTCATGCGAAGATGGGCCATCAGCACTGTCATACTTGAGCAAAAAAGCTACTACAGCTCAACTCTAAATCAAATAAATTCTAGGCAATAATAACTCGGAAAATATGTCTTAAGATTATGCCTACAGACAATTCTTCAAGCCATTTCATCAAGGATGTATGATTACTATACCTAAGCAGAAAAGATTATTCAATTTCCAGTCAATCAGTAGACACTAGATACGTAACAAGCAGTTTTGCTTTAAGAGGGTCAGAGAAGACAACGTCAGCTGGAAAAGACGAAATAAATGCTCCAAAACCTGCAGATGCAGAGAGACTGAGCACCATGAGAGGAGGTGCTCCTCCGCCTGGGAACCTCAGTACATTTGAATCACTGCAGCCAGCAGTTAGCTACTTGAGTTTTTAAACATAAATGAGCGCTTAAACAGAATGGTTAGACCCGTTTTCTCATTCACTGGTCTTCTGATCCATGAAAAAGAAGAGTCATGGGTATCCATAAACATGGTTATATTTCCTGACATTCTGGGCTGATTTACAGTACGTTGACGTCTGGTAAGTAATTGTTCTGCTAGATGGCCATAGTCATCAAAGGACCACATATCAGATGAACGAGCTGACAGAAGAGTCGGGCATGAACTGTATCTTTTTGTGAGAGATTTCTTTACATTCATAAGACACGAATCCACTGAAAGGCATTAGATAACCTGCACCTGTATTTTCTTTTACCAGATCTTCATATATAATTAAACTTTTAACATCACAATTCTGTGTTTATGAATGACACGGTAGTTATATGGAACCTGTACGAGGAATTCTTGAGGAATCTACCGATTTAGGAAGCAAACTACTCTCATTTTTCTGGTGGTTTCCTCACCTATAAATCTGTGATTACTTTCACATTGCCAGTACTGGCAAAGCAGGAATGACATTGCATTGACTAGATTGTTGGGTAAGCTCCTTGATACATTCCTGCACTATAAACATCTAATGAGATTTGTTCCCAGCAGACTATTTACTACATCGATTCACTTCATGGCACTGTATGTGCAAGAACAAGATAGAGCAAAGGTTATTTTGGGTCCTTAGACAATAGAGCTTTCCATAAATAAAGAAAAGTGCAACCATTTAATTCATAAAATCATTTTTAAAAGTTAAATGTTCTATAAATTGTGCTTTATCTAACTCATACAGCTTCAGTTCCCACTTGTGATACTCAAGTAAAAATGAATTTAAAATTCAATAAACAAATAACATTTTACAATAGTCAGGCTTGTACGTTCTTATATTTCTGAATATAAATAAATTCAATTTAAAGGAGAATTTTCCATTTCGTTATTATTATACTTCTTAAATTTTAAAACAATAGCAAATGTAATGACATCAAAAAAATGATTTACTAAAATGGTATGGCTCTCATATAGTCAAGATGGTTTCATCGGTGTTCAGCATATATGACCACTTTGCCAAATTCTGTAATTTTTTTCCCTTTTCTTTTTCTTTCTTCTTTCTTTTTCTTTTTTTTTTAAAAGAAAAACAGGCAAACAATGGCTCTAATTTAAGTTAGATTATTTGTCATTCACGGTTCCATTGTATCAAATGACATATTACACAAAAAAGTTGAGTTTTTTTCTGCCTAATAATGATTACTGATTAGCAACCACAATTTTAAAACCCAATGGAAGCAGCAATGAAGGATGAAATAGACAGCTGTAACCTGTTCCTTTGGAAAAAAAGTATCAGATATTCAACCCTGGACATGATTGAGACGTCTGTTTTGATTAATAAACTGACACTACAAGAGTAGTAAAATATATGTATCTCAATGCATTTCTTCCATGCTTTATTGAAAATTTTAGGCAAAATCTATTATCATCAGTCATAACACCAATTTTCCTGAAGTGTGTCAATAATATTGGAGTTCCAAGGCTGGCATCTGATAACTCTGAGTTTTTAAAATCAAAATGGCCCATATTTGCAAATATGTTTACAAACTTTTATTCCTCTTGTTGATCTGGGCCTGTACCATTTACACCAGATGAGGGACACAGTCTGCAACCTCACCCCCCAAGTGGGCTTTTACCACTGTCAGCAAGACAACGAATAATAGTACTGGTAAGAGTCAGAGATGCCACAGAAAAAAGGAAAAGCTCCATACAGATGCCTAGGATTAGGTCAGGAGTACAGAAAAAGCTGACTTTCTCCAAGCATTGGCTTAAATAAGGAAAGCAGAAGCACACAATTTGTGAAAGCATAACGGTTACCTACCTCAAGCTCATCAAGGGCACTTCCTAGAGTAGTTGTATGAGATGTAGGTTGTCCCATTTCATTTCTAACTCCTTGGGAAGCATTAGAAATGACACTGAGAGCATTCTGTATTTCATTACAAAGTGAGTCCTTGCTGGCTTTAAGGGATGCAACATCTGAATGCTCCAAACAAGCTGAACATATTGAATGTAGAAGAGATGAATTTTCCTTCAGACTTGCACGTGCTGCAGCAATTTCATCCCGTTGACTGCTCGATTTCAAATCCTGTCAGCAAAAGAACATGCTGTTTTTTACCAAAAGCACTTCAAAGCTGACAAGTAATATATAAACATTTTTTTCTATCTGTACTCTGTTTAAAGAAACAGTAAGCAAAAATCATGAAAGATTAGGAAAATTGACTATGTCTACAACAATACTTACAGTTAAACTTGGGGTCATCCTTATCACACAAAGCATGAACCAACCCTGTGCAAAACAACCATTCCCATTTTTATTGTCATATAACCATGACCAAAATCTGTCCACATTTTGCTTATTCTTAAGCACGACTTTCCTGTGATGGCTCATCTCAGGACTAGCCTGCAAATTAGCTGTCTCTTCTCCCAAGCTTGTCTTTCTTAATAGGCAATAGAGAAGGGCAGTGGGTGCAGGGAGGGTTAAGCAAGAAATTCTCTGATTGAGCTTTTAAACTAACTTCCTTGTGTTTACTTCCTTGCCCTGTCAGCATAAATCCCAAGCACACTGTAGAATGGAACAGTAAGTCAGAGATGAGAATCATGTACTCCCAAGAAAGCATGGAAGGTGGAGAAAGAAAAAAGAGCCTGTGAAAAGCCTTCTCTAGAAAGTGCCACTGCCTATTCTCCTCTCTCCACGCTTTGTGCAAACTCAGGAACCTTGCCACACTCATCGTCTTCCTCCCTTTTCCACCCAGACCTTCCTGAAATCCCACTGCCTCATGGCAGCCCAGATAATAAGGAACAAAATAAACCTTATAACTGGAAGCTCCATAGAGCTACCAAGTCAGATTTAAGTGTTTCTAGGAGTTAAGCTCGGGCACTGTTATTTGGACAGCTGGAAGCTGCGAACTTTGGGACAAACACATGGTCAACATCAGGATCGTAAGGAGCCTCCTGTCTCATCCTGTTTTATTCTACATACTCTACTCACTCTCCTCTTTGCATCTTGTCCCTTGAAGGAAACCAGTAGATATTTGAAAAATGGCTTGAATGAAAGCCTGGACTTAAACTCAGAGGAAAAATTTAAAAAGGAAGAGAAAATGGCACATTGGAACAACAAAAGCCTGTGACACTAATTTCAAACAACGAGAAGAGACACAATGAAGAGTGAATGACAAAATGTGTACAAAGCCCCTTGCAGCCTGCTCTAAAACAAGCTGAAGTCTTTCCAATTACTTTTCTTGGCATTGCATCAGGCTCTATATGTACTATTTACAAAAGCATCTCAGTATCCACTTCTCACTGCATAAAGTTTATGCCTGAAGAAAAGGGCATTGAATATTAAATGAACCTTTTTTTCCTAAATCTCATTTATTGTAAGATATGCATGGGACATTGGATTGGATATTGCTTCCTTAGGCTAGCTTGGGAATCTATGAGGCTAAAGTAAAAAATAAGTGGAGCCTTAAACAGAAGCAGACAATTGCTTCACCAGCTGATCATCTAAATCAGAAAACTGAGTTATCTTCTTGGGTAGATAAATATTTAATACTTTTTACATTATCAATAAACTAATATATACATAAATCACCACTGTGCGGGAATTATTTTACTGCCTAGCATGCTCTAATCCAAATACTCCACTGCACCTCCCACTTTGGTAAATATCTGCAACTCAGCTGAAGGTGGTATTTATTTTAAAACATGAACTCCTGTTCTAATTAGTGAATCTACCTTTTCCTATAATCAAACGACAAAAAGACAGAATATCTCCTTTCCTCCCGTGCCGCAAGGAAGCTATAGACCTAGAGATACAAGTGTAAGTCAATACAATACTTGAGTCTAGCTGGTTTCTTCTAGTCTTAACCGTAGACAAGTGAGAGCTCTGTCTCTAAAGCAGTACTGTCTTACTATGAATGAATAAGAAATCCAAAACTCGCAAGCCAATAACAGCAAGCCAGTAACACAGCATCCATTCTCAACAATAAACTCAGTATTTGGTTTATCTGCATACACAAAGCCGCACAAGTCTTCATGCCACACACAAAAAAGCAGAGCAAAAAGTACATATGAGCTAAAGTATGTTGTCAAGCTCACCTCTGGCAGCTCCACCCAAACCATGCAACTTTTGTAGACATTCTTAGGGCTTTATGAGTTCTGTTACTATCATATGCAACTCTACATGAACATAGTAGGAAACACGCTAAACACCAAGATACTCATTCCTCCCAAGTTAAAATTCTTCTTTACTGTTTCAATTACTGCTTTTGTTGGGCTCTTTGGCAGGAAAGAATGTGAGAAAGAGAGGAAGTGGAATTTTAGTGACCTCTAGCTCAGAGAGGATCAGTGCCTACAACAGTGTTTCTAAGAGCTCTTGGTATAGGAGAGGGGCTGGGCAATAGAAAAGGTATTTTGGGGGAACTGGGGCTAGGATCTCTCTCTGCTCCCCTCCCTTCACCTTCTAAGGATCTCATCAAGGAAAGAGGACTTCATTCCCAGCAGACCCTCCCTCCATGCAGCCATTTAACTTTCTACTTCTACTCCAAAAGGAACCAAATACCTTCACCACTCTATACAGAAGCTCCTGAATACCATCCCAAGGAACTAGGGTTTCTTGGAAGGGGAAGAGATTGACAGTTTTACTGTGAAATACAAAAAAAAAAAAAAGGTAGCAAACAGACTCTAGCTCCCTACATTTCTTTCAATTAATGGATTTTCAGCTCCCCTCCTCAACTTTTTCCTTTGACTACTCCTTTGCCAGATCACCTGTTCATCACTGTTACACTGGTGGTGCAGATGCTTTCAATTATTAGATATTATATTAGGAAAAGATAAACTTAAAAAAAATGCTAATCATTTGGTTTTAGCTGACAAGTTTGGAGTAACTCTGACCACTGTGACATAAGAAATAAATTGAGAGAGGTAAAAGAAAAAGCAAGTCAAGCAAAATGGTATGTTAAAAATTCCAAAACAATTGAAACAGCAGGGTAATATTGACTTGTGTCTTAAATCACTTTCTCATCTTTCCATTTTGTGTCAAGAAGTAGGAAAAAACACTTTATGGGAGACATTTAAAATTCAAATATAAATTAAAGGGCTGATATTAAGAAATTCCAGCATATATTTTCTGACCATTAGAATGTCCACAAAACAACTTAGCATACATTCGTGCTTACTTGTAACACGCAGCTCCCTCAAAAAACAATGCAGAAATACTGCAGGTTCATACAAAATGATTATGCTAATTTCTTCTGTTCACTAACACTTGCAATACAAAATGTATTTGCATTAGTCTGTAATTGTCTGTCAGCCCAGCTGAGGGGTTAACTTGACCCCCAAATTCATTATTACCCCAAAACGGTTCGTAATTGTCACATCTGAATGCAAAAGTAAGTAATTCAAGGATTGCATTGAATAGATGCAAATGGGAGTGAAGTGTAGTTACTTTTACAGGCTCATACGAAAAATAAGAATTAACACAAAAGGAAGCTTTGGTCTGAGATCTGAACATTGCCTAGAAAAGGGATACCATTGAGTTAACAATTTGCTAAGGACTCTGTCATGGGAAGAAATGTCTTGTTTGTGTGGGCAGGTGATACCATCTGGGCCTTGTCTAAGAGACACCAGCATCTCCAAAGCAGGAGAAGCAAGCTCCTGCATTCGCCAAGAAGAAAGGCCAGATTCTTTTCTGATTAGGTTAAAATAGAAGGACAACAGAGGATACGACTATGAGTGATTGCAAAGGTGCATCTGGACCCTATGTATATATCCAAAAAAAGGAGTCCCAATGGTAGGCTACCATCTGTGTTCCTCCGTGAAAGGCAATCTTGTAGAAGTTGTGGGAGAAACACTGCTCAGTCAAGAAAGCCCAATGCAAGAGTTAATTTTCATAGTATCATAGAATAATTCAGGTTGGAAGGGACCTCAGGAGGGCTCTAGTCCAACCTCCTGCTCCAAGCAGGGTCAGCTATGGGGTCAGATCAGATTGTTCAGGGCTTTATCCAGTCACATCTTGAAAACTTTCAAGGATGGAGTGGGCACCCTGCTCCACTGCACAAGGAAAAAGGGTTTCCTTACATCTGAAACTCTCTTGTTCCAATTTACACCTGTTGTCTCCTGTCCTCCCACCATGCACTGCTGTGCAGAGCCTGGTTCTGTCTTTTCAATGACCTCCTCGTAGGTACTGGGGGCTGCTGTCACATCCCCCAACAGCCATCTCTTCCCCAGGCTGAACAAGCCCCACTCCCTCAGCCTCTCCTCAAACAGCAAGCGCTCAGGCCCCAGACCATCTCTTTGCTCTTTAGAACTTACCATCTTTTTGCTCTTTAGAACTTACTAAAATGCTAAATAGATGCACATTAGTTTCTTTCAGAGCCTGTAAGCCTGTGTTTTTATAAATGTTTGTAAAGCATACTATCAGTTTTGGATTTGGTATATAAATACTCGTTAAAAACTTGCTGTATCCTAAAACAATTTGACTTTCAAGAAAGCTAGCTATCAAGGAGGCCCCTACATGAGCATGGCAATCATACAGACAAGGTAACCTCACTGTCAAATTACAAACCTGAAGAGGAATAAATAGCTTTTGTTTTGAAATTTCTTATTGTTTAGCTGTCCAGAAATGTTCAGAAAAGTCAATGTTTTATTGTTTTCAAAATACACAAAGTTTTGTTTCACACTATATCGTATCAAGTTTCAAAAGTACGGCATTGATAAATCCACCAGCCTCACTTCTGTTCAACAACACTTTTTTTTCATGTTTAGACCCAAGAAATATATCACTACTTTGCTTTTCAATTGCGAGCCTCAGACAGCCCCAAAACAACTGTAAGGATACTGCTCTTTTCCATTTTGAAGAAAAATTAAATCCTCAAGATTTTTTGTGTGATTCACAAACAGGAAGAGACATTTGATAATCTTAGTCCGATCCTCTGCGCAACAGGGCCAAAAAGAAAGCCTGATTTCTTTATCAAACCTTTCATATGTGGACTGTTAGAATAACGTAACTAGTTCTCTGAAAGAACGAAGTTAGTCTCTATATACAGATTTTTAACCCATACTCCTCAAACCTTTTCCACTGGAGAGAAA